CAGCTCCTCTCAAAGTCATGGGGCCGGGATGCCCCAGCCAGGCAGGGACCGGGACAGCTCTGTCCCTCTTCTCCGCCCGCCTGCCAGCGGCCTGTCCTCCTGACTGCGGTGGGAGGGCAACGTGCAGTCCCTCTGTCACAGGGCAAAGGAAGCCCTGGGCAGGAGCCAGGGCTCTGGGATGTCATTGGAATCACCCGTGACTCAGGAGACTCACTCTGCAGAGCTGAGCAGCCACCTCCAAGCCTGACCATGCTGCCGGGATGGCTCTGCGTGCCCTGGCTGGGGAAAGGTGTTCGCCCTCACCTTGTACCTGCTGGCTCTGTGTGACCATGCCATCGTGCCCACCACCCAAGCCTGGCCCCCAGACCAGCTCTATTTCTGGCTCCAGCAGGCTGATGGGCCAGCGGCCAGGGCAGATACTCAATAAGGAAGCAGTCAGAGAGGGTGACTGGGTTATAAATGGAGAGCAAGGTCTCAGGTGTCAGGCACAGCAGGCTATTCTGGGCTGAGAGGCACCCCTAGGGGCAGGAGCTGTGCCAGGAGATTTGCAGAGCTAGCACCCGGTCTGCCTGCCTGGCCTGGCAGCAGGCTCCAGACAAGGCTGTCCATAGGGTCTCCACCTTCTGCGGGGCCAAGTCCCCTGCCCTTACCCTCACCTGCCCAAAGAAGCGGCTGTGGGCCTCCTCCTGCCAGCCGCCCGTGGGGTGCTGAGGCTGCCAGTCGCTGTCCTCTGCAGAGCTGATCCGCATCAGCTCCACGGCTGGCACCAGGACCTGCTCTTGCTCCTGGCCCTGTGCCTCGGAGGCCGTGGTGTGCGTTGGGAGCAGCCTTCGGGTGACCCCCTCCTGCCAGGAGCCCGCTGTCAGGTCCTGTAGGCAGGAGATAAAGGAGCCTTCTGCATTCCAGTCCCTCAGCCTGGGCACCGGAGAGGGACAGGGAGAGAGAGACAGAGAGAGAGAGGCAGTCAGCTTTGCCGTGGAGTGCTGCACCCCGAGCACCAGCCGAGCTCCGCAGGCACACGGGCACAGCCCGCACCCCGCCGGCGCTGCCTCCCGGCACTGCCGGTCCCGGCAGAAGCAGCACAGGATACAGATGCACAAAGGGCACAGACCACCTCCCTGCCATGCTCCCTGCCCACCCCACAGCCCCACAGCTTGGCTGCCAGGGTCTAAGGCAATGCTGTGGAGCATCACTGGGTGCTGCTCCCAGTGCCACTGGGAACATGGGAGGAGGCAGCCCAGGCTGGGATGGCTCTGGTAAGCACAACCTACATGCAGGGCCTGTCTGCCTGGGCTCCCTCCCAGCTGCTCTGCAAGGAGCCCCCCCAGAGCATTGCCAGAGGTGCACGAGGCACTCGGCCCAACCACTGCTCCGTGTGCCCGGGCTCCAGAGCTGGAGACCAGCAGAGAAGCAAGCAAAGCTGGGAGATCACTGCAGCTGGCCCAGCACAGGGCAGTAGCTGGCGAAGCAGTTCTGCTCCCCTCCCGTGGCCACCCTGGTGCTCAGGCTGCAGTACCTCTCTGCACTCTTCTCCACAGCATGTCTAATAGTGGGTGATGTCGTGATCCTGGCTTGCACCTTCTGCTGAACTGAAACAAAAGAGACTTCACTCTCCGGGTCCTGCTCCCCAGTCCCTGGCTGATGATCACCGGCTGGCATCTTCCCCTCTGGCCTCTGCCCTTCCTCCTGCTCTAGAAGGTCAATCAGGCCATTCATGGCATCTGAGTCCACTGTGTCATCCTCAACCAGGTCCATAGAGCCCATGTGGTCTGGGCCATGCACATCTGCTAGAAGCTGCCCCGTGAAGCGGCCTTCGCTCGTGGCGTCCGAGTCCTCAGCCTTGCTGCACTCCAGAGAGGAGTCCTCAGCCGTCACCAGCGAGGGGGTGAGCCCCGAGGACCACACCTGCATGTCGGACATCTCCATCAGGGCGTCCTGCTCAGTGGCAGCCATTGGGATAGCATCCATGATGGCCACCTCATTCCAGTACTGGTCGGCCCGCAGCGGGGACGGCAGAGTGTAATGCAGGGAGGCGGGGGACAGCAGCTCGTCCTGCAGCGAAGCGTAACCTATATGGGCAGACAGAGGCACCGTCTCCAGCAGCCGCCCCACGCACGCACAAGCACAGTGGGGCAACAGGGAAATGGGGAACAGCCTCTGGGGGATGCCTGCCCCGAGGACAGCGATGGTCATGCCACAGCCCCCCATGGCCAGGCTGAGCAGGGCCGCGCTCCCAGCAGCAGCTGCCTTCACATGGTCCCTGCGAGTGCTGCCATGCCTCCCTTCGAGGCCTGGGGCTGCTCTGGGCAGGCTCTGGGGCTGCCTGCTCCCGTGAGGAGGACTGGCCTGGCGTTCACACGATGCCCCATCCACACTGCAGGACACAGTGCCCTCTTTGCTACCCTGCTCCATCAGACCCCAGGTCCCTGCCCACAGCCCCCATCCAGCATCAGCAGGCTGGCAGTTAGCCTGGAGTTCAGGTGGCCAAGCCTGGCAGACACTGACTCCCAAAGCCAAACACTCTCCACAGCTCAGAGGAGCAGGTTGAAAGTACCATGAGCAGGGAAGGACCACGCCAGTAAATGTCATGCAACCCCCCAAGGCCCTGCAGGAGGCAGCCAGGGCCTTGCAACCCTCTTGGTCTCTCCAGGGCTACAAGCAGTTGTTATGTCCTCATCACCCAGGGCCATGTGCACAGCTCAGGCACATCTGTATGGACAAGCCAGGCAGCCCTACCCATGCAGGTGGCTTTGCTCAGCTTTTTTCCACTCTGAGCCATCAACTCTTTTCCCACCCCTGGAGACCAGCAACAAACCCGTTCTGTTCCCCAGACAGCCGGGGAATGCCAGCCACAGCCAAGGCATGGGGCACAGCTGGGACCTCCAGCACAGAGAGGGCACCTCAGCCCGTGCAGGCGCCCGGTCAGGGACATGCAGTGCAGGGTCAGCAGGGGAGGAGCAGCCCGTGCAGGAGGAGGAGGCCTGGGGTGGCTGCCTGCAAGCACAACACCCCCAGGGTGGGCAGTCCCTGGACATGCAGTCGCCGGAGCAGGACGCGGCTCCCGGAGGGCTCAGCTGAGGTGGAGACAGTGGAGACAGGCAGTGGAGAAAGATGAGAGAAGGAGAGGCCAGGATGAGCTCAGAGGAGAAAGGTGACAAGAAGTGACCCACAGGAGTGCCCGCACCTGGCAGCACTAGGTGGCATGTTTGAGAGAGCAGAACAAGGGGAGAGACAGAGAGGGAGAGAGCGATGAGCCAGCGCTGCAGGGGCAGAGCCACAGTGCAGGGCTGCAGCAGCACAAAGCCCTGCCCCTGTCCAGTGTGCCCGCTCCCTGTGGCACATGCTGCAGCTGAGCCCGGCTGTGTCCCCACACCCAGGCACGCTCTGCCTGGGGCCCAGCCCGGACACACCACCTCAGCCACACAGCCAGGGCTCCACAGGCTCCTGGCTACTGCTCAGCTTGCACAGCCAGAGGCACCTCTCACTGGCACACTGGGATAAGGAACGTGTGTCAACCCCACCTGGAGAGTTTCTGAGAAGGCAGGAGGACAGGGCCAAGTTTCCTGCAGCGTAAGCCCCAGTGAAGAGGCCACGTCTGTCAGCAACACCTTGTGCCCACTGAGTTCTCAGCAGGTGCAACCTGGTCAGGCAAGACACCAGCCCCGATCTCTCTGCGCACAGACTGTGACCCCGGGGCCCTCCTGCAGTCCCTGCCAGAAGCTGGGGCTCACCATTCATCTGGGATGGTGAGAGGGAGTATTCTCTGTCCGTGCAGCGCCAGCCGCCCTTCAGGCTGCGGCTCTGCCGGCCGGAGCCCTCCAGCGCGCTGACGATCTCGCCGCGGTCGATGTTCCTCAGCGCCGTGTACAGGTTCTCCACTGCAGGGGGAACCAGTGTCAACAAACTGCTCACTGGGGGGGACACAGCCGTGCCCCACACGCCCTCCAGGCGGGCAGGAATGCACGAGCCAGTGCTGTGAAGCACAGCCAGTGATCCCCCAGTGTGCTCACAGCCAGCCTGGACACCTCTGTGCCCGTAACAGGGCACCACAACTACTCACTCTTGACATTCTTGCCCTCTCGGCTGACCCAGAGGTTCAGTAAGGCTATGCTCTGCTCCAGAAGGGAGTTGGGGTTCTCCACACGTATCCTGTTGATGTCTTCCACTCCAAACTGCAGCTCACGTGCCAGCTCTGGGGAAAACACCACGTCTCAGTATCACACCCTCTGGTGCCCACCACCAGGCTGGGGACACTGTGAAGGGCTCAGCCAGGCCCAGTGCAGAGACCCTCTGTTGGGTACAACTGAACACAGCAGAACATGCGGGAGCTGGGATGGGGCAGAGGCTGAAGCCCTGCTGCCCAGGTTGGCTGTGACCAGCGTGGCAGGGTGTCAGGATAAGGACAAGTGTGGGTATTGCCAGCTGGGTGTGTGGCTGCAGCGACAGTGCTGGGCCTCCCTGAACAGCAGCAGCACACACAGCTGGTGACAAAGCACAGGGCTGGTACCCGCGTGTGTGACACGTGCAGGAAAGTTCACTCCAGTGCCCTGGAACAGTCGCAGTGTGGGCCCAGGGCAAAGCACAGTCACTCCACCCAGCACCTTGCTTCCAGCTTCCCTAAGCATCAGCTTAGTGCTGTGCATCCTCAGAGCTGTCAGGGGTGCACTCACCAGCCCAGCTGAGGCCCAGCTGTTCTGCTATGTCAACCATCTTCTGGTCTGCCTTGTCCGTGCTGCTCAGAGAGCCTGGAGGAAAAGAAGAAGTCACAGCTTCAGCTGCACAGAATGGGGAGGGGAATGGGGTGCTGGCCTGGGCGTCTCACAGCCCCATAGCACAGCAGTGCCCTGCAGGCAGGACCAAGGAAACCCACAGGGAAAGGGGAGCTGCCATGAGTGTGAGCTCAACAGGGTCAGCCCAGCCTTTCCACTGACTCGGGCAGCCCAAGCACAGGTGGTGAGTGGGCTGGAGCCATCCCAGCTGGCTGCCTACCAAAACTGGTCTCACTGAGGATGCTGTACCGCTCCCGCAGGGACAATGGTGTCAGGGTCCTCCTCCGCTCCTCGCTGCCGCTGCCCTGTGAGAGAGGGGACAAGCCAAGGGCTCAACAGCTTGGAAAGAGGGCAGCAGCTCTGCCCTGGCACCACTGCTTCTCCCACAGCCACCGAGGGGCATGGCATGGCCGTGTGGAGAAGCTGAGGAAGAAAAGTTGGCAGCAAGGGCTGTCCCCTGCCCTCCCAGAGTGGCAGACACTGACCTTGGTGCAGGGTGGTATGCTGATGTTCAGGTGGCAGAGCACATGCTGGAGGTCCTCATATTTCATGGCTTTGCGCAGGAAGGACAGGGAGCCGCTGGCTTCCCGGCTGCTGTCCCGGACCTGAGCAACAAGGGCCCGGTTAGGTGGCCTGGCACAAGCCAAGGGCCCCAAGTGCTGCCCAGTCCTGCACCCTGACGTTACCTTGATGGGGATGGCAAGACGATTCTCCCGGAAGGACTGGAAGAGGAAGGTGCGGGGCTGGGTGGCCTTCTTGACAGGCACCAGGTTCCCTGAGAGTTCGACGTGCAAAGGCATCCCCTCTACCACCTGGCAGGGAGCAGAAAACAGGCTCAGACCCTGTGCAGAGCTGCTTCTCCTGCTCCTGGACAGGGCAGGTAACCTTGACTGTCCTACCCAAGCCAGGGCCAGGCCCCTCCACCGGCATCAGTCTCCCCTCACTTTGTCAGCCCTCTCTCTCCCTGCTGCCCTCCACGTGTGTGCTGGGGACAAACCTCAATGTCCCTGCTGCGGGCCACCTCGGTGAAGTTCTCGTGCTGCTCTAAGGTCTTGTCAACCTTGTCATCAGTCATGCAGTAGCAGCGCAGGCGGCCTTCCCGTGCATCGTTCATCTTGGCAAACACCACGAATTTGGCCATGTAGGGCACGGCTGTCAGCTCCTTGTACAGCATGGTGGCAAAGTGCACGGCCTCGGCCGTGCGTGGGCAGTCAGCCAGCCAGAACCTGCGGGAGAGCGGGGTCGGGGTGCTGCTGGGCAGGGTCCCCAGTGGCACCAGTGGAGCTGCCCCCACACCATCCCCAACAGCAAACTGGACTGCAGAGGGTGCCCCAAGAGCTGGGTACAGGTGGAGCCCCATCTGTGACAGGGACACACCCAAATACAAAGAATGGCACCCTTCCCTCTGCACACCCTGTTGCCATGAGTGTTTCCTGATGCAGGGGGGCCCCATGGCTGGAAGCAATTACCCTGCATGTAGGAATGGGGCAGCACCACAATGAGCACAGGGCAAAGGGCTTCTCCTGGCAAAGGCCAAGAAGGTCCAAGGAGCACTGGATGTCCCCAGATGAGCACACGTTCAACCAGGACTCACCTGGCAGACACATTGGTGGTAAAGTTAGCACACTCATTTTCATAGACCAGCTTCGTGGTGCCTGTTATGTCTTCCCACTGGGCTTGGGCTGTCCCTCCTGCAGCAGAAAGCAAGGGTGAGCATACTGTCCTTCCCTGAGCCTGGGGTCTGCCTCCCCTAAGCATTTGCTCTCTCCACTGCTGTGCCCTTTCCTCAGCTCCCAGGACCTGCATCCCCTGTGGCAGCCCAGCCTGCCCCCATGGAGAGCACACGCAGAGGGACTGGCAGCCTCACCGATGACGCTGCAGAGCAGGCGCAGGCTGGTGGTGTCACCCTCACCGCTGTCCCTCGGATTGTCCTTCCAGGACGGTGGCAGCGGGATGCGGAGCCCAATGGGGCGGTGGAATTTCCTCCGTCGTGGCTCCACCGTGACAATGGGGCTGAAGGTCGCTTGGTTCCCCAGCAGCTTGGTCACCAACTCGTCAGGCACAGGCTGTGCCTGTGGGGGGAGAAAGGAGAGGCATCAGGGATGGGTTTTCCCCAGGCTGGGGCACGTGCCCACCCCTGCCTGCAGGAGCATGTCTGGGCCCTGGGCCAGGCCCTCTGGGGCTCACCTGCAGGGCCAGTCTCACTCTCTTGGTGACAGCAGTGTCTGGGAAGGTGGCCTGTACCATGGGCACCAGCGTGCTTTTCAAACACCCTCCCTCAGGGCCGATCATATCGCAGTCCTGGCAAATCCGGGACATGACCACAAAGTAGAGAGGGAAGTCAGTGGTGATGATGCGGCAGACCCTCTTCTTATCCAGCTCCTCCTGGCTCTCCAGCTCTGCAAGGGCAGCACAGCCATCAGTGCTCGCACACCGAGCCTGCGGCTGTCACCCCACACCCTCCTCGCTGCACAACCGCAGCTCAGCCCCATCCCACCGCCCCGGCCGGCACAGCCCTGCCCGCAGCGAGGGCAGAGCCCCTCCTGCCCAGCTCACCCTCGTCCATGCCGTTGAGCAGCTGGTCCATGTAGCTCTCCTCGTAGCGGTTGCGGTGCTCCTTCCACACGGAGCCGTTCTCGCTGCGCAGCACCACCAGCTCACGGTCCCCGCGCCCGTACGAGGCAAAGTGTGGGATCTCCACAATGACGGGGCTGCAGACGGCAGAGAGAGGGCACTGGCACCCACGTGCTGCCACCAGGACATGCAGGCAACGAGGTGGCCCTGGGCAGAGTGCCTGCCTGCGCTGTGCAGCTGCCAGGGAAGAAGGCAGAGCTGCTGACCTCCCTCTCTCTGGGCATCGGGCTGTGCCCGGCGGGACGAGGTTGGTCAGGGTTTCTCCTACCACTGCTCTGTCATGCTGGAATGACCCACCCCAGAAACACGCTGTGCCCAGCCAGAGGTGGGACATCTCCTCCACCCACCCCCAAGAAGCAGAGGTGGGCAGAGGTCTTGCCCCGGATGGTAGAGACTCCAGAGGAGCCCAGATCGGTTCCCGGTCCTGAGGGATGACCCTGGTGCTGGCAGCCCGTTCCGCTCCGTTCCCAGCCAAGCTCACCTGAGAAACTGGGCACCAGCAGGCCCCAGGGCGATGATCCTGCTGGCCAGGCCCTCCTCCTCGGCCAGTGGCGGGGGTGCAGGCAGCTTCTGGGGCTTCACCAGGCGGCAGGTGATGCGGGTGGGCGCGGCGCAGGCGCGGGGCGGGATGACCACGCGCAGGCCGTGGTGGCGGCTGCCCCGCATGGACCCACCACGGGCGTCCACCATGAAGCTCACCAGGAACCTGGAGCGGGCAGATGCACGGGCAGAGTTGGCAGCGTGCTAGGCCAGCTTCCGATGCACAGAGCACACACGTGCTGCACGGGCCGGGCACTCACCCTTGTGTGCACGGGGCTGCCACAGGGCTTGATGTTGTCGAGGTCTCAGTGGCAGGGCTGTGGGAATCAGGGAGTCCTCTCGAACTCCTTGGAGGGCTGTTGTAAGGCACCAAAAAGCCCCCCTCGCGCGCACGCGCGTCTCCTCCTCGGCGGGTGTTGAGGCCTGCCCCACCCTTACCACGTCTTCACAATGGTCCCTGGGGCAGTCCTGTGCCACTGGGTCGATGCCCACCACCCACCCCATGCTTTGGCTCAGTGATGGTGGAGCTGCCCCCAGCAGGGAATGCCTGGGGGAGGCTGTGACAGGCTGTGTCTCATGCTCACCTCCTGTGGGGACACCGAGGGTGCATGCAGCAGGCTGACTTGCTCAGCTTCTGTCTCCACAGGTCCTACCTGCTCAGTCTCCTCTGCTCTGGTCACCACAGTCTCAGGTGGGACACAGGGGACCTGAAGGACAGCTGGAGACTCCACCCTGGCAAGAGAGATCAGCGACAGCCAGTGAAGAGGCAGGCCTGGGCCCCTCAGCCCCCATCCATCCCCACAGAGTCCTGGGCTGCTGGACAAAGGCAAAGGCAGCAGCAGCCTCATGTCCTGGTGCAGGAACAGCACTGACCAGCCTTGCCTGCCATGCCAGCTGATGGGGGCTCAGTGATCTGTTCCTTTCCCAGAGCTGTCCCTGCCCCACGGGCAGCCCAACCCAGCACAAGGCTGGTCCTGTGCCCTGTACCTGCTCCCTCCCCACCCTGCAGTTCTCTTACGTTTGCTCCAGTGTCGTCGTGGTCATGAACTCCAGTATCTCCTTCTTGCCTTCCTGGTCCCTGAGATCAGCTGTCCTGGGTTTTGGTGCCATCAGCTCCTCCTCTGAAACCGAGAGCTGGCTCAGCACGCAGAGGCAGGTGGACAAGGGAAACACAGACATCCAGCCCTTGCCCCCCTCCCTCCTCAGGGCTGGAGCCAGGGCCCATCCCTGCTCCCTCTCCTGGACACACACACTTGTCCCTTGGGCCTCAACCAGACATGGGGGTTTGCTCTCTGCCAGGGGGGGTCTGCTGGCAAGGCAAGGCCTATGCAGTGGGCCAGTGGGACAGGAGCTGTGGGAGCCACCAGGAGCCTCAGCTGTTCACTGACCCCCTTCTTACAGCCCCAAACACACAGCAGAGCCTGCAGGGGACACCCTATCCTTGGATTCCTGGGACAGGGGCTGGGGGTGCCCCTGCACTGGAGGCACAGAGCCCTGCCAGCGCTGCCCACTGGCCCCACTAACACCTGCTAACGAGCTCACCGGGGTTTGGCTCTTGCCAGTGCCCTGTGGGAGCGTGTCCAGCACCTCCCAAAGCAAAGGGAGTCCCCAGAGATGGGGAGGGGACCACAGGAGCACAGAGACCCGTGAGCTCTCAGGTCAGTCCCTGCTCTGGCCAGCACGGCACGGGGCGGTTGTGGAGGGGCACAGAACCAGGTTCCTCTGCCTGCCAGGGACAGGGCCTGGGGCCACCAGGGCAGCCTGAGTGGGAGGATGCCCATTCATGCAGTCACACCACAGCAAGCAGCACGGACATGGATGGGCAGGGCAGGATGGCAGGGCTGGCACTGGAGCCCAGCCCAGCAGGAGCTCAGCAGATGGACATGGCGTGCGGATGGTTAGTGGCCATGGGGTGAAATGGGCCATTGAGCTGGGGCAGGGGGACACATTTCATACCCATTACTGTGACATGAGCAGTGCCTGCAAAGTAAGAAGAGGCAAAGGTGAGGTCTTGGTGGGAGGGTGCAGGAGCAGACCAGCTGCAGCTGGGCTGGGAGCTGGTACCCCCCGGCAGAGCAGGGCACGGGGGGGCTCTGTATGCCCAGGGGCTCTCCACACACTGTCCCTGGGGCTTGGGATCACAGAGAGGTCCAGGCACATCCCTCCTGCACAGTGCAGGGAAGCACCCAAGCTGGGAGGTGCCACCCCAAGAGGCTGGCGGGCTCCCCTCATCCTCTCTGCAAAACCACTGCAGGACCCACAGCTCCCCCACCCCAGCCAGCAGGAACACCAGTGCCATCCCTGTGGCTGCTGCCTGCCACACTGACCCAGTCGGCAGACCTCTGGGATGGTGTGAGCCAACCCCTGCCCCTCACCTTCATCCTCTGATACGTCCAGAATCTCATCCACAGTCTCCGGGAAGCTCATGCGGTGCTTGTCGCCAACTGGCTGTGGGAGCAGAGCAGAGTCAGAGGAGCCCTTCCCTGCACAGCCCTCTCCTGGTACCCGGGCTGGGCCCCCAGCTGCAGACCTGTCCCGGGCTGCTCCCAGCCCCAGCCCTCCTGCCCAGGGTCCTGTCCCCACACCAGGGGGGCTCACCGGGATGTCAGTCTCCTCTGTGACGATCTTGAGCACGTCCGTGACGGAAATGTAGCCGAGGCGCTTGGCGATGGCCAGGGGAGTGGTGCCGTTCTGCCACGGGGGAGAGACGGGGTCAGCAGCCACACGAGGGGCCTGGGGAGCTGCTGGGCTGGTCACAGGGTGAGGAGGGGCGGGTGAGCACCGTACTCACCGTGCTGATCTCGTTGGGAGAGGCTCCGTGCTTCAGCAGCAGCGTCACCACGTCCGTGTGGCCCTGCTGTGCCGCCTGGTGCAGGGGGGTGTAGCCCAGCTGCAGGGGAGGACAGAAGGTGCTGCCATCAGTTCTGGGAACCTGCTGCCCCAGGAATGCCCCCAGGCCTCACACTGTGCTTCATGCCCAGAGCATGAGGGCAGCTGCCTTCCCCATCAACCTGCACGCTGTGGCCCAGGGCAGAGGGTCCTTGGAGCACAGGATAACTTTGTACCTTAGTCTTGGCATTGACATCAGCTTGGTGTTGCAGCAAAAACTTCACCAGCTTGATGTTTCCATAGTGGCTGGCCACATGCAGTGGGGTGTAGCCCATCTGAAAGACAAGACAAGGTCTCAGCCTCTCCTCAGCAGTGCTTTCTGCCCTTCTGGTTTGGATATGCTCATCCCACAGGCAAGCCCCCGTGCATGAGGGATGAGGCACATGTGTGGGTGTTTCCCCAAGAGCCCAAGACCAGGGCAGAGGGCTCACTGCAGACTATGCTGTACCCAGGGGTACAGGGGTGAGCTATGGGACCAGGTAAGAATCATCCCTCCAGTGAGGTGGGAGGTAGAGGAGGAAGAGTCCCCAGGACACTGGTAAAATGGGAAGTCTCTTGCACAAAGGAAGAGGAAAGCAATGCTCCTCCTGGAGCAGGCCTAGAGGTAGCTCCCTCGTGTTTTTCACCACAGCCATGGTCAATTCACTACTTTACCCTGGTTGTTGCATCCACTGTCACTCCATGTTTCACCAGAACATCAGCGACCAGCACATGCCCCTCTTGGGCCACGAGATGGAGAGGAGTCAGGCCACTCTGCAGAGAGAGGAGGTCTCAGCACAGTGGCAGTGCCATCACTGCAGCTCCACCAGCAGAGGCTCTGTCAGGTCTCCAGCCTGGCAAACTGACTGGCACTGTGCTGCTGGCCATGGCACTGCTCCCTGAGCACGGGGGCACAGGGGCCTGGCCAGCACCCAGCCTGCTCTCTCTGCTGGCCTGTTCGCCCCCAGCCCGGCAGCAGTGCTGGGACAACTCACCTTGTTGCCGAGGTCGCCATTGGCTTGCTTGGAGAAAAGCAGGGCCACCATGTCTGCGTGCCCCTCCTGGGCTGCCAGGTGCAGGGGGGTGACTCCCTGCACGGACTCGGCGTTCGCAGAGGCCCCGTACTGCAGCAGGCTGCTGGCCACCTCCAGCTGGTTCTGCTTGGCAGCGATGTGCAGGGGGGTGTACCCGTTCTGGGGAGAGAGGCTCCTTGCAGTGCTCAGCCCCGCCGAGCAGAGCAGCAGGGACAGGAGGTGCCACCCCTGCCTGCGGGCCAGGTCTGCCCTTCCTAGTTGCCCCTGAAGCTCAGGGATGCTCCCAGAGCATCTTCCTGACAGCAACTAGCCCTGACACTGAGGCCAATCCCACTCTTCCAGCCAAGGCAGCAGGGGGGTGTCAAAGACCATCTGTGTCAGGTCCAGCCGCTGTGGGCTGTCCTGGAGCTTTCCACACAGGAATTTCTGCAGCAGCAGCCTCCGGGAGCTTTGAGAGGCGGGGCAGACAGACACCTCCTGGAACGTGCCTGGCTGAGGAGCGGAGCTAAACTCCCAGTGCACAGCATTAGCATTCAGGCAGAGACTGCAGGGCCCTGAGTGCTGCCCCTGTGCCACGCTGCAGGAGCAGAGCAGCTGGCACACACCCGCTGCCCAGGCTGCTGGTGACGCAGAGCGGCGGGGTTGGCACGGGTACCGGCTGCTCCCGGTGCCTGCCCAGCACGTCTGCCGGCAGCCTGCGCAGGGGAGAGGAGAGTGCCAGATGGGCAGGGCTGGCACCAGCAGCCACTTGGCTGTTTTCAGGACGCAGCTTCTGCAAACAGCACAGAGAGCGAGGCGACTGCTGCTCTGCTCTGTGGGGAGATGCTCCCCACGCTCAGGCAGAGAGGGGCGACTCTCACGAGCTCGTGGGTTTTCTGACTCACTGCTTCGTAGCTGCATGAAAACATTTGTGTGTGGTTCCCCAAACTGCCAGAACGCAGTGCTGCTCTGCAGGACTTGCCATGGAAACACGCTCCCCACACAGCAGTCACCACGCTGCCAGCAGGGACCACCCCGACACAGCCTATCTGCTGGAACGGGACCATTGCCTGGCACCCTGCCTGCCCCTCGTGTGCTGCGAGCACAGGCAGCATGAGCAGCAGGCGTGGAGAGAGGCTGGGGGGGATTGCTGCCTTGTGCATTCCCTGAGTGCCAGGGCTGAGGGGCAGTGCTGGCCGCAGACTGGTGGGCACTGAACACACAACAACACCTCCCCACACCCCCAGGGACACCCAGCCCAGACTCACCCAGGCTGAGTTGTGTGGGGAGCTCCCCTTGGGAAGCAGCAGTTTGACAATCTCCAGGTTGTTGTGGTGCACAGCCACATGCAGCGGGGTCAGGCCATTCTGCAGAGGAGGAGAGGGTACAGACAGGTAAGACAGAACCTCTCCCCATACTGCTCCACTCCTCCCACAGCTGCAGAAGCAGCACTCACCTTCCCTGCTGCATTGGGGTGAGCATCGTGTGCCAGCAGCAATTCTGCCACATCCACCTTCCCATACTTGGCTGCAACGTGGAGAGGGGTAAATCCTTTCTGAGGAGAAAGGCAGCCCATCACAGGGTGGCAGAGATGAGGAGAGTGCTAGCACATGCTGTGACACAGGAGGAGGCTGCCCCTCCTGCAACAGGGACACTGTGCCACCAGCCTGCCCAGCCTTGGCCCAGCCGGGTGACACCTTCCACAGCCGTGGACTCGGTGGCCTACCTTGGTCATGCAGGTCTGCAAGGCCCCCTTCTCCAGCAGGGCCAGGGCCGTGTCCATGTGCCCCTCCCTGGCAGTGATGTGCAGGGGCGTGTGCCCTGCCGTGGTGGCCAGGTTGGGGTTGGCATTGTTGTCCAGCAGCAGTCTGACCATGCCGGTGTGGCCGATGCGGGCAGCACAGTGCAGGGGGGTCTGGTCGTCCTGCAAGGGAGGCAGAGCAGCTGCTTGGGCAGACCTGGAGCAGCCCCTTCTTGCCATGCCAAAGGGGTCCCAGCCCTGCACAGCCCCTGGCAGGCTGGACTCTGGCCACGTGAGAGCGAAGAAACAAGCACTAGCTGTTCCCAGAGCTGACTGTCACACAGGTTCTCTGTACCTACCTTGGCCTTGGCATTGGCCTTGGCTTTGTTCTGCAGCAGGTACTTTGCCACATCCGTGTGCCCAGCTCTGGCTGCCATGTGTAGGGGTGTCTCCACTTTCTGCACCAAGGACATGATAAAGTGGTGAGGCTGAAGGAGGGGTTATGCCTTCCTGCATTCGTTCCTCTGCTCTGAGCAGAGGAGGGCAGTGCCTGTAACTTTGTCTGGCCCACACTAGTTCCTCCTGCCAGCACAAAGCAGAGGGCACCAGGCACTGCTCAGGTGAACAGAGGGTGCAGGACCTGAGCAATTCTCACATCCTGCTGACCCCCAACATGCTGGGCTCCCAAAGCCCCAGCCAGGGTGGGTACTCACCACGTTGGACACGTTAGGAGAGGCTCCACGCTGCAGCAGGGTCTTGACAATGGGCAGGTGCCCCATGAAGGCAGCCACATGCAGGGGGGTCAGGCCAGACTGCAAAGAGAAAGGGGCCAGGAGCCAAGATGGGACTGATGGCCTTGCCAACATCTCTTCCTGCCCCTTCCTCCCTCTCCCCAGGGCACGTTCCAGCACAGAGGCAAAATCTGAGTCCCTGGCCTGCTCCAGGAGCCTGGCAGGTGAGTGCAGGGGGAATGCAGAGGGCTGCTGTCTCCCCTGCAGGGAGATGCTGCCAGGCTCAGCAGGTCCTGAGCTGCAAAGAGCTCCCAGAAAGGTTCCTGGGGAGCGGCAGAGGGAGCAGGGCAGTCCCATCCTGGGCTCACACCCACCTCTGTGACAGCATCAATGGAGGCGCCCGTCTTCAGCAGCAGCTCCATCACACGGATGTGGTTCTTCTTGCAGGCGATGTGGAGGGGCGTGAAGCCATTCTGCAGGCAGACAGACAGACAGACAGACAGACAGTCACTCGCAGGAACACCCCCCTCTCTCCCCTGGCCCAGCCCCGCCCGCCTCCCTCGCTCACCAGGGCTCTGGAGTTGGGCTTGGCCCCCTTCTCCACCAGCAGCTTGGCCACGCGGTGGTGGCCGCAGTGGGCAGCCACGTGCAGCGGCGTCAGGTGGTCGAGGGTGATGTCGTCGATGTCGGCGCTGTACTGCAGCAGCAGCCGCACGCAGTCCAGGTGGTCGCCCTGCGCTGCCATGTGCATCGGGGACAGCCCGTTCTGCCCGGGGAGAGCACCTCAGGCTGGGCCAGGAGGGCACCGGGCACCCCACCCACACCCCGGCCACAGCTCGGGGGCACGACAGACAGCCTGTCCCAGGGGCTGCCAGAGAGGAGCCCTGAGACCCCTCACTGCCCCAGAGAGGAGCCCTGAGACCCCTCACTGCCCCAGAGAGGAGCCCTGAGACCCCTCACTGCCCCAGAGAGGAGCCCTGAGATCCCTCACTGCCTTACTGGGAACAATGCTGGGTGCAGTCAGGACCAGAAGGGCTGCTGTCCCCAGGCCATCCCCTTCTCAGGGCTGGTCCCTTCAAAGCATGAAGCCCTCAGGCAAAGGACTCCAGCTAGAGCCAAGTAGGTCAGGAAGCTCCTTATCCCTCAGCCCCAACCCACCATGGGTGCCATCCAGCAACTGTGCACAGCTCGTTACCCCCCTGTGCTGCCCTGGGAGCTGGCACCAAGCACAGCCCCACTGAGTCTCATGGCTACCTTAGTTTTGGCTTGAATGGGAGCCCCGTGGTCCAGGAGGATCTCTGCAATTCTCACGTGCCCGTTGCGTGCTGCACAGTGCAGAGGGGTCAGCTCATCCTGGGGAGAGAGGAGGGGTCGAGGGCTCAGTATGGCACGGAAGGGCAGGGTTTCCTCAGGCAGAGGAGTAAGAGGGACTTTCAACCTGTTTGCAAAATAAGGCAAAACCGAGTCTGCCCTCAGCCCCCAGGCACACCCTTGCAGCCATGAAGCTCCGTGGCTCCTCTCACCTCTACAGGTGCCAGCCAAAAACCTGGTCCATCCCCTTAGTGCACCAGGCACCCTCCCTCACAGCCCCAGCAAGAGGTCTGCAGGGTCAGCACTGGGCATAAGGAGCTCAGGGAGGGACATGGCCTGTGTCCAGACAGGCCGTGCTCAGAGCTGCTCTCACCTTGGTCCTCGTCTCGATCTGGGCCCCGCGGTCCAGCAGCAGCCGCACCATGATGATGTTGCCCCGGCGGGAGGCAATGTGCAGGGGAGTGATCCCGTTCTGTCAGCAAGAGCAGCACTCTGTTAGAGGAGCAGCCCCTCTCTCTCAAGGAGGCAAGGGGTGAGCAAAGCAGAGCCCCAGCAGCTCCCCCCTGCCCTCACCTGGGGGGTGAAGTTGACGCTGGCTCCGCGGTTCAGCAGTAACTGGGCCACGCTCAGGTTCTCGTAGTGGGCTGCAATGTGCAAGGGGGTGAATCCAGTCTAGGGGAAAGAAGGAGGGATCAGCCCAGCCAGACACATGCTCCCTGCTGAAAGGATGGACACACACAGCATACCAAGCTGCTGCTCTCCCTGGGGGCGTGGGGAAGCTCCCCGAGGCAGGACGGGAAGGGCACACACCTTGGAGAGCACGTCGGCGTTGGGGTCGTTCTGCAGCAGCACAGCCGCCGTGCGGGTGTCGTCGTTGCGGGCTGCGATGTGCAGGGCGGGCAGGCGGACCTTCCCCTTCGTCCCGTAGTTAATGAGGTGAGCGACCACGTTCTCGTGGCCTTGCTGCAGAGCCACAGCCAGTGGCGTGAAGCCGTCCTGCCAAGGAGACCAGGTAAGAGGGGGAGAGCCAAGGAGCCATGGCAGAACCTGGAACACCCCACAGCAGCCCCCCCAGGCAGGGCCACAGGCTCCCCCCAAGGATCTCACCTCTGTGGCTACATTCTGGTTGGCTCCGTTTTCCAGCAAGAACTTCACAACTTCCAGGTGGTTCTCCTGCGCTGCCATGTAGAGAGGTGTGAAGCCTTTCTGCAAACACAGGGCCATGCACATCAACACAACTCTTCCTCGAGTTTCTCGAGTTCCCTGCAGACCCACACCCCATCAGCACCCACACCCCCAGCTCAGTGAACTGGGGCAAAACCATCCCCAGTGTGGGTGTGAAAAAGCAAAAGACATGGTGATGGTGAAGCAATCCCGGAGCTGCAGCCCACACATCCAGGAAAAGAAGGACTGCTGAAGTGCCCACGCTGGGCACAGTTCCCACCACGAGGACACCACCATCACACACTAGGTGTCTTTCCCATTCCAGACCAGGTGACCCTACCTGTGACTGTGCGTTGACGTTGGCCCCATAGTTCACCAGCTCCCGGACCACGTCCTGTTGTCCAGCCAAGGCAGCGATGTGCAGGGCTGTGTTCCCCTTCTAAAAGACACCACAGGGCAGTGCTCAGGGGCTGAAGCAGCCCAGGATGCCAAGGAAAGACGGGCCTGACATGTGCTAACAGGCATGCAAACAGGGCAGCTGGCCAAGAAAGCCTGTGGGGGCCGTGCAGCCCTCACTCCATGTCCCATCCCTGCCACAGATCAGCCATCCACCCTTCCCATGTGCTGGCCAGGCAAGAGAGTGACTTCATCTCTCCCATGCAGTTACTGGCAGGAAAAGCTGTATGCACTGTCAGGTGCTGTGCATGTCCAGCACTGAGAGATGAGCAGGGTAGGCAGGACGGGGGAGCTGAACTGGCAGTCTCCAGGCAAAGCTGCAGAGTGTGCCCTGGTAGCCAAGGCACCCCAGCAGACTTAAGGGATGATGAGCAGGCTGGAAAATGCAGACACAGGCTCTGCCTTTGGGTGGTGAGGCAGAATGCCAGACTCTGCTCCGTGTCCTGAACCCCGTGAGAGCAGCAGGGAGGTGGCAAGCGAGGCCTCCTCCTGTTCTCAGCCCTTCAGGCGGTGCTGGAGACTGTTCACTTGTCAGCCCTGCTTGCCTGTGCCACTGTCTCGCCTGTCACCAAGCAAGAACCACACCCCATGGTGATGCACGAGACAACAGGACGTGTTTTATGAGCACCAGAGCTCTCCAGGTTTGTGACAGTGGTGCTGAGGCCACCTCAGTGCTGCAGCAGGCAGGGAGGGCTGACCTGAGCCAGCAGCCCGTGCTGGGGGAGCTGTCAGTCAGGCAACACTGGCACATGCTGTGGTTTATGTTACTCCTCTCTCAAGGGAAGTGGCCCCCACAGGGGAGAGGCCAGACTGCCTTGTCCTTACCTTGGTCGTTGTCTCCAAAACAATCTCCTTGTGCAGCAGCTCCACCACCATTTTCACGTGGCCCTCCTTGGAGGCCAAGTGCAAGGCATTGAGCCCGTTCTGGAGGGAGCAAAGGTGGGAGAAGGGAATTAGTCACCATCTGGGGCTGGGGCTCTCTGGGGAGCCTCCTACTCTGAGCTCCTGTGCAGACACGACTGCAGGCATTTGGACACCCACTTCCCAGGTAACAAAAGGGCTGGGATATTTGCTGGAAAAGAGGCTAAATACCTGCAAATGCCACTTTTTCTCCTTGTCCCTCACTTCTGCCAGGTGGATGCACTAGGTTTACTCACCCCTACGCAGTGTTGTCACATGGCAGAGTTCCTGCCCAAGTACTCCACCTCCCAACCATCTGTTCGGACTCCTGACTGGAATGTCAGTTCACAGAAATGCTTCATCCTCTGAATATAGGTAGGGGAGCATAAAATGCTCAAGGAGGCTCCAGTTCCAGCCCTCAATACTTCAGTTAAAAACAGAACAGCTTCAAGAGCATTGCCAGACTGGAAAAGGTTTTTCCACCCTCCCTCACTCTAAGCACCAGTTGTCCAGGACCATGGTTGAAGAGTTACAGATTCTTTTGCTCAGCTCTGGTTACAGCAATAAAAACAAAAACCCCCAGGCTTCCTCAGCATACCAGCCCCAGTGTTCCCTCAAGCCTCAAGCACAGAAGGCCTGCTTCCAAGGGGAAATGAAGTGGGAGTGCTGCAACACCCACAGAACAGTGTCACTGAAGGGAAATACTCCCCAGCCAGGTCTGGCTACACTGACTGAGTCCATCTTCTCTGACCGAGCCCAGCTTCTCTGATGAAGACACACCTACACAACCCCTTACAAATGATCACTGGCACCCTTGCCTCACCAGGGATAAGTGGACACAGACGTGCAGGCTTTTTCTTGGTAACCAACACCTGGAGTGCAAGACCACAGCTGCCCAGCTGCTCTCCTCACCCATGTGCCCTTCTACGCAAAGGATTCATAAATAACCTTTTGAATGCTGAAAACCTGTGACAAATCATTATTCTCTGTCCTAACAGCAATAAGTGCAACGTCTGCAGAAGACTGTTTCCATTGGTTTTTCTGCTCCAGGAGCAATACAGGCTGTTTTGCACATTTGCTTTGGCTTGACAGCTCATCTGACCCAAAACCGCCACAGGACGTGCGTAATTTGAAAGGTGCTGTGTTTTCCTCACCCAGTGCTGCAAACACTTCCCAGAAATCCCAGTCACGGGCTGTCAGTGCGACAAATGCAGCCCTACAGAAAAACACAGGCTTTGCATTCAGCCTGTCCCAAAGCAGGGCCCTGCCCTGGACTGTCCATCAGGGCTGGCCACCCCAACAGGACCATCTCCGGGCACCCCCGTGCCAGCACAGCACTGTTCCCTGCTGGTGAGAGTCCTGGCAGCAAGGTGCACTCATCCTCAGGCCTCCAGCTCCTCGTGGGTGAGATGGGAGCATGCTGGGGTTTGAAACACGAGAGGTGGATGATGAAGATGCAGATGGCAGCGATGGAGGGGATGAAGATCAGATGGCATGTCAAGGTCTCTGCACTTGAGCAAGAATACAGGGCCTGTGGGATAGGTCTGACCACATATATCCCTCTTTATTCTATACAGGACATGTGAGGTTGGACCTTTCCCACAGGTCTGATATTCCTCAGAAGGAAACCCCAAAGTGCCATCTAACCTCTGGGAGATGGCAGGAACCAGTGCAAAGGCATCACTGAGAGAAGTGCCTCATACTGCTGCGGCCACTCAGTGCCCATCAAAGTGTTAATCTCCTCACCAGCACTGGAAATCTGGCTGGAGACAGGATTTGAAGCTGGTCAGTGGAGACAGCTGATGACTGACCATCTCTCTGGGTGAGGAAGAAGTTCAAAGCCACCACCTTTAGCTTGTGGCTGGGTCACCCTGCTGTAGTTCTTTGCAGAGCCCTCTCCAGAACCACATATTCCCAGAGTGTTACAGGACCAGTGCACATAGAAATCCTCCCTCTGCTCTTGGGCTTGCTATTGGAAATGAGGGAACATCCGTGGTGGGCTCTGCCTGTGCCTGGGGGAGCCTGTCCCCAGGGACTGCTCTGGCCACCACAGCACACAACCCACAGGTCTGAACTTCACCTGGTTTGGGGACTGGATAATGGAGCAGGTGAAGGTGCCTTTGTGCTGAGTCAGCCTCCCCAGCACCACCCTGCTCCCGAGGGAGCCTGTCTGCTCCCCCTGCTCAGGCCAAGCCCCCTGAGTCTGTCCCTGCCCCAGTTCGGGCTCAGCCACTTGCATTTGGCAGCTCCACAGACACAAAATGTTCTGACAGTGATGAGCAAACAGCTCCTCGGTGCCTGCAGCTCTTTGTTCCTGTGCCGACCTGTCTCTGCTCTGGACGGGTAGGGCTCCCCCTGCCCGACACCTCCCAAAACACCACGGCTGGCGTTTGCAAACCTTCCTTGCTTGTGATCAGCTGCAGCTCCTGGGAGTCTGAAAGCCCGAGAACTGCAGGCAAGGGGAATATTCCCCAAGAGCCACTCCTGTGATGTTCCAGCCCCTGTGCTACTCTTCACAGCTACCTGCTCTGCCCTCTGAGAAGCAGCTGAGCCCCTTCCAGATGTCCCAGTTGCTTGTCACACTAAAGGAGCCCTCTCTGCTTACCTGTTAATGTCCTTTGCAAGTACATGCAGGCGCCCCAGATCTTTATAGCTATTGCTGCCCTCCTGGCCCCAAAAGACAACTGCTGCAGATCTGCCTCCTGGTCAGCCACATTTTCACATGAACTGGAGATGGTACCAGAAGCCCCGTGGGTTTCACCTACCTGGTTACAGGTGTTAATATCTACCCCATTCCTGAGGTGATCCAAGGCTTTGTCCAGATTCCCGGATCTTGCAGCTCTCAAGAAACTGGTTGCAGCATCGGCCTTGGGGACAAAAAGAAAAAGCATGAAACTCAGAGTCCTGCTGTTCTCCCCCACCACCAACACTGGGTCAGCTCTTGGCTCAGCTGCAGAGAACATAACTACAGAGACCAGGCAGAAAAGGCAGAGACCAAGGAGGTCACAGTGGGAACTGCTGGGACAGACTGAGGTGCCCCAAATCAGACAGGAAGAAGGAGGGCTGGGACCTGGACTTAAAGTGAAGAGCATCCAGATGACAGGGCAGGAGGTCTGCAGCTCCTCACAGCACTGTGGGGATGATAGAGAGGGAGGTCCTGCCACCATGGCAGCCCCCCTTGGCCCAGGAAACCCCTCTGTGTCCAGGCTGAGGGGCTGCAGCGATGGAGCTGTGGTGAGCCCACCCCTACCCTCCTCCAGCAGCCGCCAGGTAACCACAACACCAGGTACCAGCACCAGGGACAACAGCCCCAGCTGAGAACCCTGCAGCTGTGACAGTCAAAGCTCTCTTTTCTGACAGTGCCTCCCTGCACTGCTACACCACAGCCAGCCCAGGCAAGGCACAGCAGCACTTGGAGCAGCACCACTGAGCAGGGTGAGGCAGCAAATGAAGACAATGGCATGGCTCACCAGAAGCTGGAGAACAGGGTGGAAATGCAGTGATGTGGGTCTGTGAGTCTGGGACCTTGGACTGGTAACTCCAAGCTGGTACCTGCCTGCTCAGGCCAGCCCAAAGGGCTCTCTGCAGCCAAGAGCCATGAGACATCCATGGCAGGGGCACAGGACACACTACTCTGTCCTCAGCTCCAAGAGAAAACCCAGAAGCCCTCTTGTACCACTCACATTGGGACTGACCAAGGGACCTGTGCTAGGAGAGCCTCCATCCTGCCACCCCAGAACATCCTGTAGTGCCCACAGCCTGGTTGAAGAAGAGCACCCAGGATTAGGAAGCTCCTGGACAGGAGCTGGGAGCAACACAGCCAAGACAAAAGCCCTGGAGGCAGACCTAGGGAGGATGATGCACCACACGGGTTCAGGCTCCTCTCTTCCCTTCTCTTTACAGTCTCAGACATCTGAACTGGGACTTTGGAGCAGCACAACTCAAATGCCTTCTGCTCTCCTCCCTCTGCTCCCCAGCTCATCCTTTCTGCCTGACCCTCCTACCCCAGAGAAATGCAGCCGTGCCCTGGGCCCAGGGGGACCCTGCTGTCCCCTGCAGACAGAACCACCACGGACAGGGTGTCCTGGCCCTGCTGGGACGGGCACAGAGCTCAGCCTGGGCTCCCACCACATGGAGGGTGCCATGGGGGCAGGTGGCAGGACCACCGTGCCCCGTCCTGGTGCCAGGGGAGCACGTGCTGGTCCGACACCTCCTGCCCAGCTGGCTCCACTCGCTCTGCCTCGGAGGGGGGCCCGTCCATCAGGGCAGAGCCCTTGGATTCATGATAGAGCCGTGGCTCTGGGGGGTGTGTGAGCACAGGGGAGGCAGAACACGGCCCCTCAGTGCTCTGCCCACGCGGGAGGATTGGCTGCCAGAGGCAGCAGCAGCAGCAGCAGTGCTGTGCTCAGGAGTGCACACTGACACCCTGTGTGCTGTCTGGGGTCCAGTGAGGAAACACTGACAGCTTCAAGCAACAGGCTGAGTGCAAAGGGCTTTTCCAATGCAGACCCTGCTGGCAGTCTCTGTGTCTCGGGTCGGGATCGAGGACAAGGCAGCACCTCAGCTGTGCCCCAGCACGCCAGCACAGCACAGAGCTCTGACAGCAAACCCCACGGAAAACCAAAGCACAGCTCAGCCAGGCTCTGCCCCCGTGGGACACACATGGAGCTCTGAAGATTAAAATGGCAAAACTCTACATGGTCCAGCAGCAAAGGGGCTCCTGAAGCCCCAGCACGCCCAGCAGCAGAGACTACGAGCAGAAAGCAAGCAGAGAAGCAAAGCAGAGGTCTCTGTGGGCACGAAGGAGAAGTGCATTGTATACTCACAGCCACGTCTGGACCAGACCTGCCCTTTCGTGCTGCCATAGCCCAGCACTTCGGCTGAAACCTGAGCCCGGTGTCCCCTCTCTCCCTCCTTGGTTATCTACTCCCCAGCTTTGAGAGAGCCAGTAAGTTACATTGCATTCTATCTAAAAATACAGGCTCCGTCCTCTCTCCAACGCAGACCCTGAAGGGATCGCCAACTGCTAATGGAATTTGTTCATTTTCTCTCCATTATTGTGTCAGACAGGATATTTAATACCAAGCTGCCTCCGGAAAGCAAATGACTGCTGCCAAGCGCAGGGAGTGGGTCAGAGCTGCAGGTACCACCTTGGGAACAGCAGAGGAAAAGCAGCCCCACAGCCATGCCCAGGAGCCCAGCATCCCACAGGTAACTCCTGCCACAGAGGAGAGGGCTTGCAGTTCCCTCCCGACCCCCTGGATGCTGGGGCCCGGGTCTGGGAGAACGTGCCAAGGCTGGAGTGAGTCAGAGGTGCTGCCTTTGGCTCCCTGTGCTCAGCACGTACCTTCAGGAAGCACAGGGAGATGCAGGGCACCAGACACCAGCAGTCACACCACACACGCCGCCAGAGAAGATGGGACAGCTCAGCTCAAATGGGACAAGCAGAGGAAATGGATCCACAGTCATATTGTCCTTCTGATGCCAGGCTGCTCAGTGGGACTGGCTGCCTATTGCTTGGGGCAGTTCCCTCCCCAGGGAACGGGAGCAGAGCTGGGCCACTGCCCCCTCCCGAGCTGCAGCACAAGGGAGCAGCGACAGCAAGAACTGCAGAGACCCCAGGGACACGAGGAGTGTGCACATCGAGAAGATACACACACAACACCCCAGCCAGCACCACCCCAACACACCCAGACAGAGACACATTGTCCAGCCACCCCCCCGACAAGCACAAAGTGCAGCCCAGCCCTGCCCCGTGCACACACACAGTCACCCCCCCGTGTGCCCCAGGACACACAGCAACTGCCTCCAGGTGCAGAAACTGCCCCTGCTGCTTCTCCTTTACTGGAGTTTGCAGAGTTTCTTTCCAGTCTGCTTCGCCTTCCGAGCAATTTTCCAGGAAGGAGCTACTCCAGAGGAGAAAATAAACTGCCCCACTTGCCGTTGAGTACCTCCTGCACTCTCACTAAATCCTAAATTTAATCTGCTAAAGCCTATACACAGGCGTCATGCTCCACAGACTTGTGGCCATCCAAGCTGTGATGTGTCAGGAGGCTGCTGCCAGCAATTCCCCAAGAAAGAAGCCTCTGATCTGGACTTTGATAAGTGCTCCAAGACCTTCTAAAGTCAAAAACATAGCACTCCTTCCCTTTCTTTTCTTCAGGAAAAACCTCCCCTTGCCTGCTGACAATATAAATTTTCCCCTTTCCCTCTGCCCTGGTTTCAGTTAGGACAGAGTTAATGTCCTCCTGCTCTCACAGCATTGATGCCACTGGCCCCTTCACCCCAACAGGAGAAGCCTGGAACTGCCTGAGCCCTTTGCATCGGAGCCATGGCCAAGGCAATAAGCAGAGGGGAAGTTCTGCCAAACCAGAGGCTCAGGCTGGGTTTCAAGGGCTGCACTCAGAGGTTCAGTAAGCCTGCTGTGTCTCCTGCTCTTATCTCTTCTGGCAGTGCCTGCTCTCACTCCCACCAGCTCCTGCTGCCCATCACTGATAACGGGAGGGAGGGTCTCAGCATTGCCTCCTCCTGTGAGAGGTGGCCACACTTGGCAGGAGCCCACTCTGTACAAGCTGCTAAATGCTGTAAGTCGATGATTTCCAAGTGCAAACGAGTTCAGGGGCTTGTGCTGATCTCACCGTGTTTTCTGGGACACAGAGGCAGCAAGGAGCAGGTCTCCACACTGTTCCAGCCTGGCAAAAGGCACATGTGCACCCTGCTGCACTGCCCTCCTTCCCCTGGGTGCCCACTCATCTCCTCAGCTGGGCTGGCAGGGGCTCGTGGGCAGTGGCAGAGGAGGCCCAGCACGGACACACCTCGGGCTGGGCAGCACCCGCTCACCCCACAGCCACAGAGCCCCAGGCCTGGCACCCAAGCCATGTGCTGCTGTGGACATCCTGTCTAGATGCTGTGGAAAGGTCCAACTCACGTCTCAGAGGTCATCCAGTTACTTCCAGCTGCTAATGCCAGCCTGCTGGAACCCAGAGCCAGCACTGCCACCCGGGCAGGGGTGACAAACCTGGCAACAGCCCTTGGCACTGGCTGGGATGTCTCCTTGCTCACGGGGGCTTGAGTCCAACAGTGGGCATGACCCTCACCTTTGAGGCACTGTTTCCAGCAGGCAGCAAAGCCTCTCATCCGTGCAGGGGTTCACTTTTAGGCAACTGCCCAACCCAGGAATTCCTCCGGAGCCAGAGCTCATCTGGGCCTCCCTCTGCCTTACAGATACCAAGTGCCCAGGTCTGCAGGTGATAACCTCAGTCCCTTCTCATCAGATGAATTTGTCAGTCCTGCAGACACACTAAAAGACCTGCTAAGACTAAGAGCAGATTACACCTCGGGTCCCTGCAGGATGATCAGGGAAGGTCAGGAAAATTGAATCAGAGATTCAACTCAGAATGCTCAGAAATGGAAACCACGCCATCCATCTTGCAGGAACTTTCTCTCCTATCTGTATTAACAGAAACTGGATGCTCTCAGTGGTCCCTGCAGTGGAAAGAAAACCTACTGGCAGGTTTCTGCCTTCTGAGTAGAAGGCAGCATTCAGCAGAGCACAGCGTCTCCAGAGAGGCCACAGTAGCAAAGCCCCAGGCAGGCAGCCAGCAGAACATGGAGAACAGGCAGATACTGCAAACCCAGACGAAAAAGAAAAGCAAAAGCACAAGGAAAATTCATCTGATGAATGCATCAATCCACGTGCCCAAGTTCTGCTCTCTCATCATCCTCACCTCTGCCACGTGATTTAGCACAGGTCCACAGACCTTGACAGGACTGATGAGAGTCCAGGCACAAGAAGTTACCTCTGGAAGGCATCTGGCAGGTGAGTTTGTTCTCATTTCATGCACCAGCCTGAGTAAACCCTTTGTCC